CGAGTATCGCGGGTCCCCCTCTTGTGTTAGTATGTTTCAATATTGCCAATATGAACTGATAGGTTATCTAGGGCAGTATGCTATTCAAAAGGAAAATTAAAAGATTCTTTTTTGTTTGCTCAACTTAGCGGGAATAATAAGGTGGAGCGTAGTAATAGGATACTTTGTTTATATTAAGTAACATGATTGATACTTCTGTATTGCTGGAATGGGGAAATGAAATGAAAAAATGTATTTGTATTCTTGTTGATTTGGTATAAATGTATGAAACAGGCTTATATTGTTAAAACCCAATAAAAATATTGCTCAACAAACAAACAAACAAACAATACCTGTCATTTTATTCTCAATCCCTTTTCCAATAATCCCTAACATAGGATTTGCCTTTTTCGCCAGTGTAGCGCACTGTGTTGACACTGCCATTGGGCTATCCACCACGACCCCACTACAATATTTTTCTCTCACAGTCTCAGCAAGTTCAGACCCCATCAGCATACACTTGCAGTTGAGATTTTTTGTCCTGATGTGCATTACACTCAGCGACAGTGAACTTCTCAGGACAGTAGAACGGCAATTTGCCTGAGGGTTCCAGTGCAAAGATGGACCTTCAGCTATATGTTTTAAGCAGACTTGTGTGAGTGAGTTCAAACCAAACAACATCTGTACAGGAAACTGATCTTTATTACTCAGCATGGAATATTCTCCTGTGCTTTTCCAGGCTTCTTGGAACCATCTGGGCCTGTCCTTAAGGAGCAGGAAGTCCATCAGTTACCTATAACCAACATAGGAATACGATGTGGTCAAACTGCAATGTGGGCTGAAGAAGAGACCTGTGTAGAAATCACACTTACAGTCGGAAGGAATGGCAAGAAATCACGAGGGTGAGCTTTCAGTGAAAAGGTTCTCTTGAATGAGCACTTCCCAATGGCCCTGTGTTTAAGGAGCTTCTCCCATTTAAAAATGCTTGTTACTTACTCTGGAACACTCCAGAGCAGTGAACAGTGGGGTCCGATCTGGAAATGTCTCCACAAATGCCATAAGACTGGGATGGCACCCCACAAAGGACCATCTGGGGGTGGAAAGTGCCGTCAAGTCACAGCTGACTTGTGGCAAACCGTCATAGGGTTTTAAAGGCAAGAGACAAACAAAGGCCGTTGGCCACTGCCTGCCTCTACAGAGCAACCCTGGACTTCCTTGGTGGTCTCCCATCCAAGTACTAACCAGGGCTGACCCTGCTTAGCTCCTGAGATCTGATGAGATTGGGTCAGCTTGGGCCATCCAGGTCAGGGCAAGAACCATCTGTACAGCTGGTTTGACCAGAGAAAGAAAAACCAATTTAGGAGGTCTGGAAAAGATTTAAGAATCTTAGGACTGCTGAACTAATTTGCTTTGGGACCAGTTCTTGTATGTGTGGACATGCTTGCTGCCAATTCAGTCAGTAAGATGCGTAAGTAAACAGCCCCAACCACTGAGGGAAGGATCATGAAACAATATAAGCCAAGCCAAATTTTTTAGAAACATTTCTCTCAGGAGATATCAGCCGCTCCCTGACCAACCCAAAGTAGACCTCATGAATCTAAAAGCTGAACTCACTTGGCTGTGCGACATTCAAAACCTGTGTTTCCCAGAAACCACAATGTTGGGCAGGTGATTTCTGTAGAGCTTGGGGTGGTTGTGTTCTAAGGAAGAAGAAGTTCTGCTCTGTGGTATTGTAGAGTGGCCACTGAACCTCATTGGTGCTTACCCCATTAGGATTCCTGTGAAGAGAATGGAGAAAAAATCTCAATGCAGTACAGGGCAAGGTCCTGTGTGAACTATGTACCATATTGAAACTATTCATTTGTTTTATGCTCAGCCCTGGTGGGAAGTTTACAATACTCATACCTGGTTTTCCTGTTAAACGTTTATGTGTTTTTATTGAAGTATTTTATTATTTTAAATGTTATTTTTAACTTCAAAAGATTTTCATGTTTGCCGCCTTGGGAGCCCTAATTAGCTGGTAAAGTAGCATAAAAATGTTTTGATTGATTAATTAAATCTTAGTAATGGAAACAATGAATTACATTACACTTGAATCAAGTACACCTTAGGCTGTGGTCAGATGTGCCATTTGGCATGGAGGGGAAGCACCCCTATTACCTCTGGTGGAATTTGACTCAAAGTCATGCAATCACACATCCCGTTGTGCTGTGTGATCAGACGCCACCTTCGGGTAAGTGAGAGGGGTTTTTTTGCCTTTTGTTTCCCATGTGCATAAACGAGGAAGTGAACCCCCCATGGAGGGTTCCCCATGGAGTATGCAGTTATGCGCATACTGCTAAGCAAAGGGGGGGGGAAACGGAACTAAGTAGGGATGGAATGGGCAGACCCGACGGCTTGAGTGTGTGCTGGAGCGATTAGATGGGGGAAGGGTGCGGAGGAATGTTGGGGGTGGGGCTCCCCCCACTAGACAGCTGGCTGGCATCTGAGGGAAGCCCCAAGAAACAGAGGATCCCCCACCCCCACCTGCAAGACTGGCATCCCTACCTAGAATTATGACTGATCTCCAGTCTACAGAGCTTAGTTCCTCTGGAGAAAATTGCTTCTTCGTAGCGTGGGACTCTATGGCAGAATATTCCACTGAGGTCCCTCTTCTCTCCAGACCCTGCCCTCCCTCAACTCCACCCCTAAATCTCCAGGAATTTCCCAAAGTGGCGCTGGCAACTGTACTGCACTACCAGATTTCTAAAAGGTTAGCAACATCAACGCCTGCACCATGAGAATAGAGACTTCAGCAGCTCCAGCAGCCTGTAACAGCTCCAGCAGCAACCTACAATGATCAGGTTGCAGAACTTACCCACACGAAGCTGCGACCAGTGTTCCCTCTAAGGTGAGTTAGTGTGAGCTAGCTCACAGTTTTTTAGCCTCTGGCTCACACATGTTTGTCTTAGCTCAGGAAGGATGGCTCCAGAGCAAACTAATTTATGTAGTACCCAAATAGCTCACTCACAACTTTAATGCCAGTAGCTCACAAAGTAAAATTTTTGCTCACAAGACTCCACAGCTTAGAGGGAGCATTGTGCCTATGCAGTGTGGGCCATTGCTTACTTGATCTCCTATGAGTGAGCTTTCCTCACAATAAACATGTGCCTGGTGGAAGATACCAAGATTCATCAGACCCCGTGGGTAGCCCTCTGGCCAATTATTGTGTCGTTTCTGTGTTGCTTTCTGGTGGAAATTTGATTGTGGGGTGGTGTGTGGCTGAATACAGTGAGTCATATTGGTGAAAGAACTGGTAGGCATTTTCTCACCCTTACTCAATGGTTTTAAACCAAAGGGCATGCCTGTGGTAGAGAGCAGAAGGCCACGAGAGGAAAAGGGGATGCCTTACCCATGTCTAGCAAACTCTGCCCAGTATCGCTGCACCCTGCGGCTTAACGCAGCCTCCTCCTCTGTGCATGTTTGGTTGGCAGCCAGGACTGTCTTAAAAGTGCCAAATATGTAAGGCAGTTCAGCACCATGGGGTGCCCCAAACCACTCAGGCCAAACAGATCCCGAGGTGTGCTGTGTGAAGTAGTAAGTGTACACAGGACTCCCAGCTTCGGTCAACTTTGCAGCAATTTCTGCTGAGGGGCATACGGAGAAGTAATCACTACTGGACTGCACCATGACCGAGCGGTAGGATGTGGGGCCATGGACCTCTTTGCTGTATTCCTGCACCACAGCCTCAACAACGTTTTCTGTGGCCCCTCGTACCATCCTCTTCACACCCTCCACCAGCTGCTCCCTAGTTATTAGCACATCTTTGACATCTGGAAAAGTGTTCGACATGTACAAAGCCCATTCGTCGGAAGTAGTGCCAATGAGAACGGCTTTGTTTGGAATGCACCCAGTATCCAGAAGTGTCTGCAGGTCCTTGGGAAGGAACTCTCCATCAGTGGTGGGCGTGAAGGGAATGTACAGAAGCATCGTATTATTCAATGCAGATAACTCATACTGAGTGAAACCCCCTACTTCCTTTCTCTGCAGGCATGTCACCACATCAGCGCCATCATCTTGAGTACAGCCCAGCTTTTGGGCCAGATCAAGGGCTCTCTGTTTGGCCTCCTCAGGACTTATCCAAGCCCAGACAGCATTCATAGTTCCACTTTGCATCACAGCCCGGGCAAAAAGGGGCTGGCTTTCTGGGGAGAGGAGATGGAAACCCACCAAGGCTCCTCCAGCACTATGTCCGAAAATGGTCACCCGCGTGGGATCTCCTCCAAAGGCCAAAGGCAGCCCCATGTAGAGGGCATTACAGTAGTCTAACCTCGAGGACACCGTCGCATGGATCACTGTAGCCAGGTCATCGTGGCCGAGGAAGGGAACCAACTGCCAAATCAGCCTAAGATGATAAAATGCCAATCTGGCAGTGGCTGCCACCTGGGCCTCCATCATTAAGGAGGGATCCAGGAGCACTCCCATCTCCTAACCTCCAACACTGGCACCAACGGCGCCCCATCGAAGGTTGGGAGAGGGAGCCCCAACCCCGGTCTGCACCGACTCAGGCACAGGACCGTCGTGGGTTTCAGCCAGCTCAGCCTGAGCCACCCAGCCACGGCCTGTAGTGCCCAGTTCAGATCTTCTGGGTTGGAGCCCGATAAGCCGCTCAACATCAGATAGAGCTGGGTGTCATCAGCATATTGATGGCAACCCAGGCCAAACCTCCTGGCAATCTGGGCGAGAGGGCACATATAGATGTTAAACAACATCGGGGAAAGCACTGCCCCCTGAGGCACACCACATTAAGGTGGGTGCCTCCAGGACTCCTGTTCCCCTATCGCCACCCTCTGTCCCCGACCTTGGAGAAAAGAGGCAAGCCATTGAAGAGCAAGCCCCTGTATTCCCGCGTCGGCAAGGTGGTGGGTCAGCAACTGGTGGTCGACTGTGTCAAACGCAGCTGACAGATCTAACAACAACAGTGCCACCACACCGCCTCGATCCAGATGCCTCCGAAGGTCGTCAGTAAGGGCAACCAGTACTGTCTCCATCCCATGACCTGGGCAAACGCTGGAATGGAATGGATCGAGGACAGAAGCGTCATCTAGAAAACTCTGAAGCTGTGTCGCCACCACTCTCTTAATCAATTTGCCCAAATGGGGCAAATTGGACTCCGGCCAATAGTTGGCCAATCCAGCCAGGTCCAGAGTTGGTTTTTTCAGGAGAGGATGGACCATCGCCTCCTTGAGTGCCTCAGGGAACCGTCCCTCCAAGAGGGACTTATTGATCATCTCCCTTACGGCACCTCGAAACCCCTTGTGGCCCATTTTAATGAGCCAGGAAGGGCACGGATCAGGGCGGCACATGGTTGGACGCACAGATATAAGGACTCTGTCAACTTCCTCCTGACTGAGCGGGGCCCAGGCCATGCCTCTCTGTTCATCTTACTGGTTCTATTAGCAGTGTTTGACACTGTGGACCATGCCATCTTGTTAAGGGTTCTGCCTTGGAATGGTTTATATTGCACCTTGTGGGCAGCTCTCAGGAGGTAGCCGCTGGAGACCAACTGTCATCCGAGTGAGAACTGTGTCATGGGTTCCTTAGAGATCCATCTTATCTTTCCACCTGTTCAATATCTATGTAAAGCCCTTAGGAGAAATCATTCCTGTATTTGCTGCTGGCTGTCATCAGTATGTTGACGACACCCAGCTTTATGTTCCTTTGTCTAGATGCCGGAGAGATCCTGAAGCAGTGCCTTACAGCTACGGTTAACTGGGTTTAGAGTGAACAAGCTGAAACCGAATCCTGAGAAGACAGAGGTAATGCTGGCTGGGATAGCTGACGTCCTGGGGGACGTTGTGCTCCCCACCAGTGATGGAGTCCAGATGATTCTAGCTGACTCAGTGATGAGCCGAGGAGTTAAAATGGGCCCAGCATTATTACTGGAGAAGTTCATGCAGCTTCAAAAGAAGAGGCCTTCTATCTGCCTCTTTTAGCCCAAAAGATGGCCCCTTACCTTGATTCGGCTGATCATGGCATGCTACGGTTACCTCAAAGCTAGGTTCCAAAATGCACTCTGTATGGGTCTGCCCTTAAAGATAGCTCAGACACTCCAGTTAGTACAGAATACCGTGGCCCAGTTACTGTTGGGCACATGCGTCACACCCATTCTGCAGATACTCCATTAGTTACTGATTATCTACCAAGTTCAACTCAAGGTTCTCGTTATCGCCCAACAAGCCTTAGACCCACGTGCCTGCCAGACCGTCTCTCCTATTACGTTCCTCTCTGACAGCTTTGTGGTGCTGTCCTGCAAATGGAGGAGGTGAACAGCTTGCCTGTTCACGCGAATTCTCAGTGGTGGCCTCTGCCTTGAGGAACAGCCTGCCAAAGGAGGTCAGGAAGGCTCCCACACTTCCGTCATTCCTCAAAACGTCCAAAACCATAATGTTCAACAGGGCATTTTTTTTAAAAAAAACAAAGAGATTAAAGCTATAATAGAATGAACAGTCCCGAATGGCACCTTTATAATGGAATCGGATTGTTGTGGGAACGAAAATGATTATTGTAGGTATCACATGCTTTTACTGCACTGTTTTATACCTTTTCTATATTGTTCGTATTATAGTTTGCCTTAGGTAGCATATGGTTCACATTGTTTCCCAATTCTGTAATCCTAGTCCAGGGGTTCCCAATCTTTTCAAACCTGCGGGCACTTTTGAAATTCTGACACAGGGTGGGGGTGGGCAGAAATACAAAATGGCTGCCACAGGGGGTGGAGCCAACTACAAAATGATTGCTGCAGGAGGAACGAGAAGAAGAGTAGATTTTATACCCCGCTTTTCACTACCCGAAGGAGTCTCAAAGTGGCTTACAATTGCCTTCCCTTCCTTTCCCCACAACAGACACCATGTGAAGTAGGTGGGGCTGAGTGAACTCTGAGAGAACTGCTCTTGAGAGAACAGCTCTCAGAGAACTTTGACTGGCCCAAGGTCACCCAGCTGGCTGCATGTGGAGGAGTGGGGAATCAAACCTGGTTCTCCAGATTAGAGTCCTGCCAATGTTAGCCACTACACCACACTGGAATAAATGAATAAATATTTCACATACACATATGTTATCATCTTAGTTCTGTTCAGACCTTTCTTCCTGTATGTGCTGAGTGGGTGTAGAAGTAGGACTGACATCATCATGCTCATGGGCAGCTCCCTCCAGCAGGGCCCACAACCACTTGTCTCCTGCCCATGCACCTCCCCGTCACTCATCCATGCAGCCTTCCTCCACCCATTGGCTTGCAAGCACTCTGTCACCACGCATGCTCCAAGCTCTCTGCGCTGCCTATCACTGTGTTTTTTGGGGGGGTGGGTGCTGCACGGCAGTGCTTCTGGAGGTCATCTGGCAGAAGTCCCCACTGCACATGACATCCCATGCTGTCAAGGAAAAGGCATGTGGGTGAGTGTGAGCATAGGCACCAGAAGGATGCACTGACAAGGGGGGGTATGCAGATAGGTGGACAAGAGGAGAGGTTTGGGGCAGCTGCCGAGTAGCCAAGGAGGGGAGAGCCTCCCTGGACATTCTCTGCCTGCCCCCCTCAAACCTGGAACCAGCCCTGCATAGAATGGAGCAGGGTTACACACCTGCTTGCCTTGCCCTCTCATCTCCAACTCTGAACTCTACGCAGGGGTCTTTTTGTAGAAAAAGAGCTGCCGGAGCTCATTAGCATAACTCATTAGCATATGCCAAACCCCCTGACATCACCGGAAGTGTGTCATAAGGCCACACCCCCTGACATCACTGGAAGTGTGTCATAAGGCCACACCCCCTGACATCACTGGAACCTCTTGATGACTGTTTTTTGTTTCTTGTCCTTGGCCCTTTTGGTCTGTTGGTTATTATCCAGCTCCCCCTCTTCCTGTCACATCCCGGGATGCTCTTTTGTGAGCGACTGGCATTAAAGCTATAAGTGAGCAATTTGGCTACTGCATAAATTAGTTTGCTCTGGAGGCATCTTTCCTGAATTAAGACAAAAATCGCATATAGATGTTAAATAGCATCGGGGAGAGCACAGCCCCTTGGGGCACACCACACACTAGTGTGTGCCTTTGGGACTGCTGCTCCCCAATGGCCACCCTTTGTCCCCGACCTTGGAGAAAGGAGACAAGCCATTGCATGGCAAGCCCCTGAATTCCCATGTCGGCGAGGCGGTAGGCAAGGAGCTGATGGTCGACCATGTCGAACGATGTCGACAGGTCTAGAAGCAGCACTGCCATCCCGCCCCGATCCAGATGTCTCCGGAGGTCATCCATGAGAGCGACCAGTACTGTCTCTGTCCCATGGCCAGGGCGAAAACCGGACTGGAAAGGATCTAGCATGGAAGCGTCAGGTAATGGAAACTCTGAGAGACTTGTAACTCCCTAAGCTTTAGGATCCTGTCCTATTTTAACATGTATGGAGAGAGGGACAGAGGATTTGCATTTTTACAAATTTCCTTTGGAATCCTTTGCTCAGTCTGGTAGAGTGCTAAAAGTATGTTTGTAAACATTTTCTTTTTAATAAATACTTTATCACCTTGGATGCTGGTAGTGGTTTTCTGTACCACATAAACCTCCACTGTCTCGGACATGCTATTTTAAAAGGAGCACCGGGGAAGGCAGTCAGTTGGCAAGTGGCTATTCCCCCAGGAGTGCACAAGGCAGGAAATGGTCCCCATGGTGACCAGGTGCTGGGCAGTGGGAGACACAGAGGCAAGGCCTCAGAACTGGGAAGGGAAGCTGGGAGTCTTGACCTAGTGGGACATTCCATACGAAGGTCAGGTGGTGGTGCCAAGCTACCCAAGAGTGAAAGAAAAGACCCTTCAGGGATTGAGAAGAATTTAGGAGTGCAGGGCTGAATAGGGTCTGCAAGCCAAAGCCACAATTCTTATAATCACATTTACAACAGTATTTCACTTTTAAGTATGTTAAAATATTGGAATGCAAAATTAGATAGCATCCCTACTCCACACTTCATACAAGAATTGTGATTGTTGCATGTGCGCTGGTGATTCCACATAAACTGTGGAAGATACACATTTGTGGATATTTGCAGCTAATGTGTACCAAACGGGAAAGGGTGGCCCTATTTATTTTATTTATTAATATTTGGATCCCACCCTCCCCGCTTATCAGATGTGCTCCCATATAGACATAATGGGCTTGTGTCTTTTTTACTTAATAAATTTCTGGGTAGGATGACTGGAAGTAACTCCGATGCATATACAATAGTGGTGCATATTTATTAATTTATTTTGAAAATGCATGCTTCAC